CAGCAACCAGAGCCCCCCACCACACACGTGCACACACACACGCAGACACACAGACACACACACACGCACGCACGCACACACACATGCACACGCACACACACACACACACATACATACGCACGCACACATGCACACGTATGCACACACACACATACATACGCATGCACGCACACACACACACACACACACACACACACACACACACACACACACACACACACACACACACACACACACACACACACACATGCACACAGAAGTTCTCCTGTTCCTCAGAGCAGCCAACCAGCTCTGCTTGTTGGTCTCAGCTGACAGTCCCACTGTGGGGTCCCGTCTATTTCCTGGAGCGTCTTCTCCCCCTGACTGCAGCTCAATAAAAACCTCTCTGTTTACCTTAGAGACTGGAGGAAGGGAGTGGATGTGTGTGTGTGTGTGTGTGTGGGGGGGGGGGGGTGTCACATTTAAATACCGGTTAAGATAATAAAAAATAAATAATAAGCAGAAATCCTCTCATTTTTCTGGAGATTGCCGGATCCATCTGGCTGCACCGCGTGAGCAGAGCACACGCACCCGCGCGCCCCCGCACGCATTAGCCTGGGAATTATTCATAAACGCGTCGGGAATTAATTCCCTGGATTAAGAGTTGATTAAGATGTGTGTCACTTTGCTGTCTGAGAACTTATTAAGGCTCTTCTCGGAGAGGTGGCAGATGGAATTCCAGCCTGATGTTTGGAGATGTTAATTCCCGCTCCGCTCTTACAGATATTTGCATATGATTGAAGGCGCGGGAGGCCGCGGCGGTGCTGCGGGACAATCACCGGGAAATAATTGGCTGTTCGGGCCAGTAGAGGCTCTCAGCAGTGATTAACGGGAGTCAGAATGACTTATTATGGGATGGATAAAATTAAAAGCACCGTCAGAGCGAAAACATCCCGGAGATAAAATCCTTTCCTGTTGTTAACAGATTATCCATCCTTTAATTTTTTTAGTCTTTATTCCACATCATTTATGTGATTTATTTGTTGTTTTTAATCAAAAGGATCTCTGATACTACAAAAAGTTAAAAAGTCAGGTGAGGTCCAGAGAACCGGTCCGATTCGCAAATAAAACAAAAACGCGAATTTAGTCATGTTTCATCAGAATCTTATTCTAAAATCAAAATTAATCAATTAATTAGGTTTTATAAACGGAAACGTCATTTTTCTGTTCCAATAAATTATTAATGATGAATCTGAGACGCAGCTTCCAGAGGGATGTTATCCAGGAGGAGAGGAGAGGAGAGGAGAGGAGAGGAGAGGAGAGGAGAGGAGAGGAGAGGAGAGGAGAGGAGAGGAGAGGAGAGGAGGCCTCCCAGCTGCCGCCGCGGCCTCACGGCCAATAAAGAAAGCATTTACATTAATGCCTGGAGGCCAAACGTGGACTTGGATCAAACAAATATTATTTCCATATTTCCGGGATTGGGAATGGATGCAAACGAGGCCATAAAACGATGAGCTGGAGGGATCTTTGTTGTCCTCCAAATTAATCCAAACGCAAATCGTTTCATCCTTTTATTTATTTGTTTATTTTTATTTATTTGTATTTAAAATTTATTTTAAATATAAAAAGGCGAAACTTTAATTGAATTCTTCCAGCAACATTAAATTATGTTATTTGATAGTCATAAAATATGTTTTTTTACTTTGCTCATAAAATGTTTAATTTAACCCGCAGAACACTTACGCTTTATTTTATAAATGATCACAAATAAAAATGTTAAACATGGACATTAAATAGAAATTCAAAAAAATTAGAGTAGTAAAACGGAGGGTTTGGTTTTAGTTTAGAGAATTAAAAACAAAAGTGAAGGCCTCAAAATAAATAAATGAATAATAATAATAATAATAATAATAATAATAATAATAACAATAATGATAATGATAATCATACATTTTAAAATAAAGTAATCAATCAATAAATAAATACGTTTTGTTGTTTCTAACGCGTTGGATCTTTGAAGCCGTTTGGTCACGTGCAGCAGGTAATTATACAGATTTTCCAATCAGGACAATGATGATGTTTTGGTTTGTTTATTTATTTATTTGTGTTTTTCACAGCGGTCCTGTAGGACGTTTTATCCAAACGCATCTCTGACATAAAATATTTTTTATGTTTGACTTTTTAACATTATGACCATCTTTTTGCGTGGATCCTGACAATCCTGATCCTGACAATCCTGGTCAGTGTTAGAAAACCTTTGGTGATTTTAAAGACAAGTGACCAAAGCTAACCCTGTGCCAACGGACCTGAGCCCCGGACGGACAGGCGGGATGATCCGGTCCCTGAAGGCCGCCGGAGACCGGATCACGTCTCTACTGGAGCCCACATGTGTCCTCTCTGTCAGATTGGACCTTCTCATGTTCCTTTCATCCTTGACTCATTAGATCAACTTTTACGCACAAGAACGCGCAGAGAAATGAAGGAAAAGCGAGACTCAGAGAAGGAGGAGAGGAAACTTACGTGGACTCCCGGTTAGTTTAATCCGAGGGAAAGGCAGGAGGTTCGGCTGCGTGCAGGTCGGTGTTTTGGTGTCAGGGTTACTGATGACATGGACAAAAAGTTCCGGGAACGGAGCGAAGAAAAGTCAGAAAATCCTCCGGCAGGCTGCTCCTGTCTCCTCCTCTCCCCTCTGCTGTCAGACATGAAGGCGGTGAAAGGGTGAGGGCTGATCTCCTCCCGGAGAATACGGAGGGAGGAGGGCGGGGGAGGACCTCATGCTAAATATTGTGTGTGACAGGTCCACCCCCTTTCTCTCTGAGCGCGCGCGCGCGCACGCACGCACACACACACCACCTTCCCTGGGACTAAAACATTCTGATGAGGCTCAGAAAAAAAATCTGATTCATGCAAAAATGAAAACAAAGATTCTTTAAATCAAAACATTCAGATAAAATAATCTTCATGCAGATTATAAGAGTCAGAACAAATCTGACTGTAAACAGTAAATGATGCATTCAATGATTTCTTTCATTTTATTTATTTGTAGATACAGTCAGGGGCAGCGTTAGGCCCGGCTACTTGGGCTCAAGCCCCAAATGTTTTATGAAAAGCCCCAGATCTAAAACGGAAGTAACATGCAGTACCAAAGTCCAACAGAGGGGGAGCAGCTGGCAGTAGTTTGTATACAGCCTTTTACTGTTTGTAAACAATATGATGTCAGCGAGAATGCGCGCGCAGCTTGGCAGCAGAATGGCGTTGTTTCAGGCTTTATCAAGCTACGCTGCGGGGTTATCACCGGCAAATCTTGAATGTTATATTATTAAACTCACTTTAACGAATGGCAACAGACTCCCGGATCCCTGTGGCATTACGGAATGGGTGGAAGATGTAGGTGCGTGGCCAGATATCCAGTGGCCCGATATATATACGTTTTTGGTGGAGAGGCCCAGTAAGTACACACGTGAGAAGCTACGGGCATACAAATCGTTAGATGCATACAATTATGTTGTCTGTGGCCACGTACAGAAAGTAAAATATCACGACATAGACTCTGAGTTTTGCGTCTTGAAGGCAGAAGTCATTCCTCGCCAAAGACAATATTAAATATATCTGTGATGGGAAGGTGTAAACATTACCTGTCCATCTCTGCATGGGGGTTTGGACTTCGCTTTGTGTACGGAAACACAGGAGGCACAAAATCAGGACTCGAGGAGTCCAATGACACCTCGCCTGTAAATAAATAGACTGCTTAAAAGCAAACCAGCAAACGCAACTTACTTTATTTAATAGAACACACGTTAACCAGCTTTCTGGTGTAATCTTAGTACATAATTACCTTACCTGATGTAAAATGGGCGCTACAAACTCGAGCATTTCGGATCGTGTTTTCAGTCCAGTTTTCATCAACCCTTTTGATGGCCTGCAGCCACAGACGCCTCCGATTTTGTTGAAATGGACGTGCTCCTTTCGGAATTCTGTAAAGTTTCACTCCACTGCTTGAAGAGAAGCGATTCTGGCATCCATACACGCAACAACCCGACATTTTTATGTGCTCAGAACTTCAAAACAAAGGGTTTAAAACGCTGTTTTAGTATCGAGTGTGAATGAGGAAGCCTTCACTCTCGTTGCCAGGCTGTGCGCGCAACTTTTGATGACGTAGGTAGTAAAAGGGTCTGTACAGCGTGCCTGAGCCTCCACCACTGAAGAAGCCCTTCAGCAGCCGGCTTCTTCTACGGTCTCTGCCTGAAACGCATGAGTGAAGATGGACATAAGGATGTTTTTTAGACCAAAAGTACAGCGACAGAACCCCAGCTTTGATGAGACTGGTGTTGACTCAGGTTTGTGAGTCTTATTTGAAAATATTTGTTGTGCTGCTGGTTTGCTTAAAGTTAGCTTACTATCAGGTAAAGTTGTTGCAGAAAGAAAGGGAATATTTACTATCATCTCACAATAAACACTAACAGGAACAATACTCTGCCCTGAAAATGCTTAATATGTAGCTTCAGATTAAAAATTATGTGGTACAAGACATATATATATGATGTTGACTAGTGTCACGGGTGTGTTTGTGTGTGCGTGAGCACGCATGTGCGCGCGTGCGTGTGTTAAGCCCTGGATCTTCCTCAGTCCTAAATCCGCCCCTGGATACAGTCCCACCGAGATGCGAGGAGACCTGTGAGAGGGCAGCAGCACCACAAACACTAACAGCAGGCAGCTGGTGAACATTTCAAGTTGTGATTGTGAACGCCACATTCCACGTGCAAAAGCTGTGGATTTGCTTACAGCAGCTCGTTGTAACAGTAAAATTTAGCAACACTGATCTGTTTTATCAAAAAAGTTTTCTGTGAGAAAGTTTCAACATTTTCATTTCAGCCAGAAGAGAATTTCATAGGAGCAGAAAACAGGAATGCTGCCTCCCAGTCCGTACTGAGGAACCCGCAGAAGGAAGATGTTAGAACATGAGGCACAATGGCCGCTGGCTCTGTGGAGACAAGTCTACAGACATACAGGTGCTGGCCAGTAAATTAGAATATCATCAAAAGGTTGAAAATATTTCAGTAATTCCATTCAAAATGTGAAACTTGTACATTATATTCATGCAATGCACACAGACCAATGTATTTCCAATGTTCATTACATTTAAATTTGATATTCATAAGTGACAACTAATGAAAACTCCAAATTTGGTATCTCAAAAAATTAGAATATTCTGAAAAGGCTGAATATAGAAGACACCTGCTGCCACTCTAATCAGCTGATTTACTCAAAACACCTGCAAAGGCCTTTAAAAGGTCCCTCAGTCTTGTTTTGAAGGCACCACAATCATGGGGAAGACTTCTGACTTAACAGCTGTCCAAAAGACAATCATTGACACCTTGCACAAGGAGGGCAAGACACAAAAGGTGATTGCTAAAGAAGCTGGCTGTTCGCAGAGCTCTGTGTCCAAGCACATTAACAGACAGGCGAAGGGACGGAAAAAATGTGGTAGAAAAAAGTGTACAAGCTCTAGGGATAACCGCACCCTGCAGAGAATTGTGACGACAAACCCATTCAAAAATGTGGGGGAGATCCACAAAGAGTGGACTGCAGCTGGAGTCAGCGCTTCAAGAACCACCACGAGGAGACTCATGAAAGACATGGGATTCAGGTGTCGCATTCCGTGTGTCAAGCCACTCTTGAACAAGAAACAGCGCAAGAAGCGTCTCGCCTGGGCCAAGGACAAAAAGGACTGGACTGATGCTGAGTGGTCCAAAGTTATGTTTTCTGATGAAAGCAAGTTCTGCATTTCCTTTGGAAATCAAGGACCCAGAGTCTGGAGGAAGAGCGGAGAAGCACAGAATCCACGTTGCATGAGGTCCAGTGTAAAGTTTCCACCGTCAGTGATGGTGTGGGGTGCCATGTCATCTGCCGGTGTTGGCCCACTCTGTTTCCTGAGGTCCAGGGTCAATGCAGCCGTCTACCAGGAAGTTTTAGAGCACTTCATGCTTCCTGCTGCTGACCAACTTTATGGGGATGCAGACTTCACCTTTCAACAGGACTTGGCACCTGCACACAGTGCCAAAACCACCGGCACCTGGTTCAAGGACCATGGTATCCCTGTCCTTGATTGGCCAGCAAACTCGCCTGACCTTAACCCCATAGAAAATCTATGGGGTATTGTGAAGCGGAGGATGCAATACGCTAGACCCAACAATGCAGAGGAGCTGAAGACGACTATCAGAGCAACCTGGGCTCTCATAACACCTGAGCAGTGCCACAGACTGATCGAGTCCATGCCACGCCGCATTACTGCAGTTATTGAGGCAAAAGGAGCCCCGACTAAGTATTGAGTGCTATACATGCACATTCTTTTCATGTTCATTCTTTTCAGTTGGCCAACATTAGAGAAACAAACATTTTTTCATTGGCCTTTAGAATATTCTAATTTTCTGAGATACCAGATTTGATGTTTTCATTGGTTGTCACCTATAAATATCAAAATTAAACGTAATAAACATTGGAAATACATTGGTCTGTGTGCATTGCATGAATATAATGTACAAGTTTCACGTTTTGAATGGAATTACTGAAATATTTTCAACCTTTTGATGATATTCTAATTTACTGGCCAGCACCTGTAGAATAGAATAGAATAGAATAGAATAGAATAGAATGGAAAGGAAAGGAACGGAACAGGGGTCTCATTTATCAAGCTTGCTTACGCACAAAACGGGGTCAGAAAACTGCGTAAGCAACTTTCCACGCAAACTTTGGGATTTATGAAAGAAAACTTAGTGGAAAAATGTGCCCAACTTTAAGTTGACTAAGGATCTGGCTTACACACATGTTGGACATGGAGAGCACCTGCAGTGCTGCTGCTGAGAAGATACAGTTATGAAATCCTGAAGCATTATCACTTGTACTGCTTCGTTTTCACACAGAACAAGACCCCCCCCCCCCACACGCACACACACACACACACACACACACACACACACACACATGCGCGCACACCATCTGCATGCTCCAGCATCTGCTGGAGCCTGTGGCGGGGTGCTGAGGGCCGGCTCCAGCCCAGGAATGAGCTCTCCTCGCCCGCCGGGAGGGTTTGAAACACCGCCATCCTCTCCTCTGCTGGAGACCATGGCGCGCTGCTGCGTCTGCGTTGTTCATTCTGTTATGGTTACCGGTGCTTGTCTTGCAATGTGAAACGCTTGGTCTCAGATTTTGTAAGAAAAATAATAAAATGTCCCCCCAAAATACGACTTAAATACATTTTTTCTTCTTCCTGATACATTTAATGGCTGATGCGACTCAGGAGCGATAGCCCGGAAAATACAGTACTGAAAACTTTCTCAAAGCAAAATGTTTTCATTATGGAAATAAATTATAAACTTACCGATTTAATACTTTATTAATCAAGGTACTTTTCACGAAAAAGCGCCGAAAACCTCCACCTAAACTTCGTGTGAGGTTCAGGTCGATGGGTGTTCCACAGTTAGCTCCGGTTGGGTTGAAGCTAGGTGGCTACATCCGTTAGCTCGGCTCCCACCTCCGCGTTAGCTTTGGGTTAGCCAGGGTTAGCTTCAGGTTAGCTTGTAGCTAGTTCGACTGGGTGTCTCAGTTGATCCCAGCCTTACAGCCCCACTCTCAGCTCCTCCTCTCTTCCCTTTTATGGAATTGTCTGGGCTGGATGGAACCTGTGACACGGTCAAAATGGCGGTGGTGGCCACCTCCCATTATAGACAAAAAACTTGTTGTTGGAGCCTATGGAATCGAATTGTGCAGTATGTATGTCGATGGCGCACACTCACACACACACACACACACAGCCTGAAGCCAGAATACGGAATGCTGAATATCAGCAGGGGGACAGATTGAGACAGAATGTCATGCGTCTGTGACAGTGTGTGTGTCCTGTCACTGTGACCCGATTGATCGTGCGCCCTGGCTACTTGTACAAGGGAGATCTCTCTTTGGGTGACTGGTTAGTGCGTGTGACTTTCGCCTGCGAGTCTGGGGATCGAATCCTGATTGGACCATTTTTTTATATCCGCCACAGATCTCTCTGAAGAATTCACAACATTGACGGCTTCAGCAACGCTGTGCCACTCTGTGGATTTTCTCTTATTTGTTTTGCAAAAGCACTTCCTTTCATTTCTCCACCTCACCCACAAGTACCTCAACTTCTGCTTCTGTGAAATAGAGCTTCCTTGATCTGCCTTGATCTACGGTCGCCATCGTCATTGGCGGAGCGCTGCAACAGCCGGCTTATGTATATGCATGAGGTCCACAAGGCACTTTGCATTGACTATTTTTGGCAGTAAGTGGGCGTGGTGAGGGCGGGATGTGACCAAATGAAGGGGAGATTGCGTGCAGCTGTGCGTACTCCATGTTTGATAGATCACAAACCTACTTGGCGTAAGTACATTTTTTTGCTGAGCTTAAGTATGTTTTAGTAAGGATTCTACGCAATGTTTGATAAATGAGACCCCAGAATAGAATAGAATAGAATAGAATAGAATTAATTTATTCCAAAGTAGAGAAATTCAGCTGTGGGGAAGTTCGGCCTCCCCAGCATCCTCTTGTCACTCACATCCTCAACAGAATCCAGAGGGCGGCTCAGAACCGAGGAGTTTGCTTCCATATAATTTCTAATGAGCTGAACCAAATTCCTGACGGATGATCAGATGAACATCCAGGAAGTCTCTAGAGAGGTGGACTTTCCTCTCCCTGCCTCATCAAAGGAACTCCTTTACATGATCAGGCTGTTTCCTCTGAAACCATCAGCTCTGGACTCTAATCAGCCACCATCTTCTAACCTTTCTTCGTGTGGTTTAAGTGGGAAAAACGCAAAGAGCTTCAAAATCTCAGATTTCTGAACACTTGGCTGAAACTTGGCTAACCCAAAAGCCAGCCCGACCCGAGCCGTGGTTTTGCATCTCCAGGTCTAAAGGTCCATCCTCTGAGGGTGGTGACTCAGTGAACTTGGTGGATCTTCTTGTTTGGTATCACTGAGGAAGTGAATTCTGCACATTGGAGATCTAATGTTCACTAGTTAACGACGTGGTCATTTCTGGTTTTTAAACATGTTTCTTTAAAAATGCTAAAAGACCAACAGATGCTTGTTGGTTGATGTGTGAAAGTTGTTTTTTTTATGTAAAGCACTTTGTGCTGATCATGAAAAGTGATCTACAAATAAAATTTGATTAGAGTTTTTTTTACATCTGGTTTTGTTTTTGCTGGTTGGAATCTTCTCAGGAGTTTCGCCTGTATTTGTTGGCGACCATCAGACTTGCAGATCCACACCTGGTTTACACTTATACTTACCTGCTTCTATTCTGTGTCCAGACCCTGATGAAGGCAGAAGCTTAATGAAGCCATGAGAAGCTCCTAAAGAGGAACCGCAGAGTGAATCATGCAGTGTTCATGCTCATGTTAGTGTTTAGTGAAACTGATCTTCAGCTAAATCTGCTTCTTACCAGTTTTCTCATGTTAGCTCACCTGAGCTAATCCTGTGAACTGTTTTTGGGACGTGATCAGAACTTAAACCTGATGAAACATCAACAACCTTTCACCTCCGCACATATTTAAAAGAAACTTTTTTATATTTTTTTCCTGATCAAACATTTTAAACAAACTCAGTTCGGAAAATGTTTTAATTTTTATCTTTGTAACTTTGGAACTGAGCCGCCATCTTCACCAAACTCTCTGGAAGAAGAGAAATTGGATCTGAGCAACTTCCTTGTGAAACAGAATTAACAAATGAAAGTTCTTGGAGGGCAAAGGCACAGCGAGCCCGCGAGGCCACGGGTCTTGACCTGAGAACAGATGGACCGGTCCTCCTGGGTCAGGAGATTATTACCTCTGGTGGACGAGGCAAGTTTCCTGGTGTCTGGTGGGATAGAGGAGAGATGGAGGAATGGTGTTGCTGCAATTTAGCTGAAGGTGCTCAGCAGAGACACACAGATCTGGATCTAGTGCTCCATCACAGCCTTACCTCTGGACTGGATCTGAGCTGAAAGAACAGGATCCTGGATAGGGAGCTTGGGCTAGAGATCTGCTCATCTTCTTTGGTTTAGATGGTCTGCAGGAAGTCTCCTGGACACCTCTTTGGGAAACTGACCTGGGTGCCAAGCCAGGACTCTCTGGGTGGATCACACCTCCACTCCACCTGCCCTGCTGCCTCACCTCTGTGGAAGAGGCTGTAGAGCAAAGCTTCTGCTAAAGGCATGACCATAGACCTGTTGGGCAGACTGCTGGGATCTACAGAACCTGTGATTCTGGTGGATTTGACTGGAGCTCACACATTCTTCACACAGCTGGGCTGAGATAAAACCAGTGTACATAACATCACGTCTGTCATGTTTCAGAGGCATTTATGCTGGAACTGGAGGCTTAGAAAACAGCAGAGACAGGAGGAGATACGGTTTGAAAAATGACCCAAACTCCAGTCCAGGTGTATTTGCTCTTCTGTAACACTCGTATGAAGATAAAAACATCCAACATGGCTTTTTCAGAGTCATATAATATCCAGGTGGTGAAGGAGGAGAGGGAGGAGGTTTTTCAGGTTACTCCTGTAGGATCGGACAAATGAGTTCAATTGAATAAAAACAGGATGTGGAATAAAACCAGCAGGGTCTGTAAGGTGGGTTCAGGCCTGGACCGCCCAGCAGAACCAACACTTTAAAGCTGCAACGGCAAATCTGTAAAACAAATGAGATCAAAACATTTTTCCTGCCTCTTAACAATGTTTAACATCGTATGAATATGTTGTGGAGATTGAAAAAAAGAAAATATTTTATGAAGTGGCTCTCTCGCCTAAAAACTTGCGTCAAAAGCACGGTGCGGTCCGGAACCAACCATCGGACCATTCAGTTGTCGGTCTCACCGAGCCGCTGCACTTCCCTGGGTCCTCCACTCCTCACACTCTCACGTGTTCAGCACCAGAACACCACCGGTGTGAGAGGTTCTTCGCTCGATAACATCAGAGAAGGAGAAACAGCCGGCTGCTACCGCTTCAGCCTCTGCAGCAGCACCGTCATACAGGATAAACAGATAATCAATAATAAAAACAAGCATTAAAAACTGAATAACTGCAGGAGTTTTTCAAGAGCAACAAATAAAATAATGTCTGCTAGTGTATTTAAATAAGAGCAACATTGTCTCCCAGTCACTGAAATCACATGTGTTTATGTATTTTTGACACCTAATTTATAAAAAACCATGTATGAGGCAAAGTCCCCACACTGACAAATGCCACACGTGGGCTGGAACATGGAGCATAAAGGTTTGCACGAAGTTTCAAAATAAAAGAGCCTTCTTCATTAATGATTATAATAGAGTGAGGTATCTGAAAGCATGAGCAAAAGTTCATATCAGTGCATCACAAACAGTCTCCAAACCACAAGCACGTCTGCAGAGGATTGGGCGTAATTGCAGAAGAAATGTTGCTTTTACAAATCTCACAGGTGATGAAACAGTTTGCTGTGAGCAAACAGGTCTGACACAAACCTACACGGAGAAGTGGGAGTGGGTGTTGAGTAAATGATGTGTTAGAGCTGGGATTGTTCTGCGTGAGACAAATATCCAACCTCCTCACCCAGGAAGATGCTGCCGACAGACTTAGACATCCCATAACAGACACCCATCCAGTTTCAATCACATGCAATAGTACTCTAGTGTAGTTTTTCTGGTGTAATGTGTGGACTTTTTATGGTTAAGTATTATTACTTGTTGATGTGAGCAATGTTGAATGTATATTTTATAGTTTTTGATTGTCTTTCATTATCTTTTAAATTCACTGCTCTTGCCTTTGTACAGCCCTCCATCTGCTGTGACAAAAGCAAATTTACCACTTGTGGGATTAAAAAAAGAAGTATCTTATCTTATCTTATCTTATCTTACATGGTGTCATGTTTCAAATTAAGGAAAATTCAACATTTTATGATTAAATAAATTTATGTCATTGAGTACGGTGACCATTTGTTGAATGAATTAGTTCAAAGTAAAGTCTTAAAATTTAAAATCAACCAATTTTCCTCTAAAATATGAGTGAACATTGAGAATCAGAAATATTTATTTGACATAACAATGTGATTAAAACTGCCAGAGACTATGAAAACCTAATTAATATCTTAGGTGTGTTCTTACTGTGTCGTGGTTCTAATTCCATGCTTTCGTTCTTTTTTAAACACAGAAACAGTTTTGTTTACCTGTTTTGTAGCTACAGTTTCGCCGACGGCTGCCGGCTTCTTCAGGCTGACGCTGATGGTGGTGCGTCACTTCCTTCTCCATTTATCTGCGGGCAGCAGAGGACTGGAAATCATACCAAAAGGACAAACAGAAACACTAACACAACATTTAAACAACATTGACGACACAGGCAACATAAAATTCACTTATGAGTTAGAATCAGAAGGCAGCATAGCTTATATGGATATGAAAATCACCAGACAGACCGACGGGACCCTAAACATAAACACATACAGGAAACCAACACACACAGACCAATATCTATTATGGACATCAGAACACCCCACCATACACAAAATGTCAGTAATCAGAACATTATATCACCGAACAAACATAATATCAGAAGAAAGAGACCGAAAACAAGAGGACAAACACATACAACACGCTTTAAAGACCTGCAGATACCCGACATGGGCGATAAACAAAGGAAAACGACAAACAGAAACAGAAAGCAAAGAACAACCCAAAAAAAGAACCAGAAACACAGAAAGACAAGAACCAAAACCAGCGATAACCCTACCATACATCAGAGGCATAACGGAAAAAATAAGAGAAACAATGAAAAAACACAACATAAACACACCAACAAAACCATACACAACAGTTAGAAACAGACTAGTGCACCCAAAAGACTAAATATCAGCTGGACAAAAATGTGGAGTCGTTTACGAAATCCCATGCAAACTCTGCAATAAAACATACATAGGAGAAACCAGATGCCAACTCAACACACGAACAATAGAACACAGAAAGGAGTGCGAGAAAGAGGCAAATCGAAAACACACAAGAGCAGCAAAAGAAGAAGCAGAAAGTACAATAAGGAAGTCAGCCGTAACAGATCATTGCATAAGAGAAAACCATATAATGGACTGGGACAGCACACGGATCATAACCACCGAACAACAAACATACAAAAGATGGATCAAGGAAGCAATCGAGATAAGGAGACGTGGATGTGGGACCATGAACAGGGACGACGGAGTTTACACGCTGGACCACGCATGGGACTGCATCGTCGGAGAGGGGAGAGCGGGCAGTAGAGGGCGACAACGTCCTCTGCTGCCCACAGATAAACGGAGAAGGAAGTGACGCACCACCATCAGCGTCAGCCTGAAGAAGCCGGCAGCCGTCGGCGAAACTGTAGCTACAAAACAGGTAAACAAAACTGTTTCTGTGTTTAAAAAAGAACGAAAGCATGGAATTAGAACCTAATTAATAGCTGAAGAAACCAATAGGCAGACAGATGGACAGGTGGACAAAACATTCAAACTTGGTGAGTATTTCATGTAACAAGGACTCACAGAGAGGTGGCAGAAGAGCGATGTGGGGCCCCAGAGCCATAAATTGCAGACCATGATGTTTTAGTTGGTAATAGGATTTTTTTTACAAGATAATGTGAACATAGTTATAAAGTGTGAGACTTTTCTATTTGTATGATAAACTTGTTATCCTTCTCTGTAATTATCACATAGCTCACAAATGACTTTTGAATGACTGAGTAAAATCAAACAGGTAAATATCTCTAAATCATAATAAAAAACACACAAATGTGGTTGTTTTTACTAATCTGAGTTAAACTACTCAATGGTTTGGAGTTTTGCTGTCAAAGACATCACATAAATCAGATTACACAGATTTAAACATGGGATTACACCAGGAAGGCAGCAGTGGAGCTGCAGGCCACGCTTACGTCATCAACCAGGCGCAACCAAACCCCTACTCAGCTGTCCTTCTTTGACCCGCCCTCATCAATATAAACGTATCTAATAATGCATTTTATGTCTCTAAAATGCATCGTAAACGTTACAACAAACAATATCTCTGGTAAAAAGTTTCAAATCCGTGTGTCAGAAACCCGTTTGTAACCAAACGGATCCCAGAGCTTGTTTGTCAGTCATACCTCTCTAGTCAAGCTAGGTTGAGGCTGCGCAGCATTTCCACGTCAGTGTGTTTACCAAAGCTACAGGAAGTCGTTCAATTTATTCCCGTATGAGCAGTTTTTCATGATTGAATGAAGAAGTGGAGCTGGGAAGGACGACATTTTAATTAAGTGGAATGTCCGAACCTTTTATTTTATGTATTTGTGGCAGTAAACTGACATTTGGTCTTCATTCACTGGTGACCGGCTAGCGAGCTAGCGTTAGCTTCAACATCAGGACTCCGTGCTTCAACCAGCAGCCTCACTAAGGTATTAAAGCTAATCTATTTCATGCATTAACACTGCGGATATTCATGACAAAGCGAGTTTTCTTTGGATGATTAAGGAATAAGGAGCATTTATGAGAGAACAAAGCCCAAGAACGTTGAGATCTAACCGGTTAGGCTATGCGTGTTTAGCTGTCACGTTAATGGTTCACAACTGTTATAGTTTATGGGACAGTACACGTTTTGGCCTTTTTGACATACGTTGCCACGTGTCCAGCTGGTATTTTCTGAAAAAAAAAGAAAGAAAAAAAAGTATTTTTAATGCCTGTCAACAGTTGTTGGATGTCAAGAATGTGGTGACGGATAGCATTTTGGCTAACGCTCTGTCTCGTAAGCTCTTGTGAACAATCTGATTTATTGACCTAATTCTGACTTTCCAACACGTTGACATTCAGACTGTTTGCACCTCAGCTTTTCAAAAATTATCCTGTCGGTCATTTCAAAGTAAAGCAGCTAGTTGTCATCCATGGTGAAGGAAGGACTCCAGATTTTGGGTACTGGTTGTGTTAGTTGGTGTCAGTCAGATAACCATCAACATTCACAAAACTTTTTATTTTGTTCACAAATACCATATATTAAGCCCTTATCTCACGTTCTTAAAGTTAACAGCTTATTGTAGCAGCTTCCTGTTCCAGAAGAACGTTATTCTCATCAAAAGCTCTTCAGGAAAGAACATAGTAAAGTATTTGTAAGCATTAACTGGTCTCCAGCCACCAATCCGTTGGGGTTTGACTTTTCTATTATACTAATAGTTGTGCATTGTAACAAATAATAAATAACCCAATAAACCAAAATCAATCTTAGTAAAACTGATTTTCTGAAGATTGTGATGTGCTCTTATGTGGAAGAGAGGGCTAAAGTGAGGTTAACACTATCTAGTTTCCTCTCTGTGTTCAGGACAGGTTGTTGTGTATTTTCAATTATGCACCATCCATCCATTCAATTTCTTCCGCTTATCCAGAGTCGGATCGCAGGGTTAACAGCCTGAGTCAAGAGGCCCAGACATCCCTCTCCCCAGCCTCTTATCTCTGTGAGCGCTCCTTTTCTGTGGCCGTCTCCAAGTTTAGGTCCTCCACCACCTCTCTTACCCATGGTGTCCCACAAGGTTCTGTGCTGGGGCCTCTGCTCTTCCTCCTCTATCTGCTTCCTCTTCAGCACATCCTGAGCTCCCTCAAAGGAATCTCCTACCATCTTTATGCAGATGACATCCAACTGTACATCTCCTTTAAGCCCCATGAGATGCCTAAGCTGCAGCTGTTACACACCTGCTTAGACTCTATCAAAACCTGGATGGTGGGAGCTTTCTACAGCTGAATGAAGATAAGACTGAGATCCTCATCTGTGCCCCAGACAAGCTGGTTCCCAAAGTCAGACTCTCTTGGTCAGCTTGCTTCCCACACCAAACCTTCTGTCAGGAATTTTGGCGTGACCTTTGACCCAGCTCTCACCCTGGATTCTCATGTCAGTTCTTTTGTTCGTTCTTCCTTCTTCCATCTCAGGAACATTGCTAAGCTGAGTCCCATTCTGTCCCGCACTGAACTTGAGACAGTTATCCACACCTTCATCTCCTCACGCTTAGACTACTGTAGCTCTCTTTTCACGTGTCTGAGCAGAACCTCCCTGAACCGTCTACAGGTGGTTCAGAATGCCTGTGCTCGGCTTCTGACCAAGTCCTCCAAACACACCCACATCACCCCGCTTCTCCTCCAGCTTCACTGGCTGCCAGTCAACTTCAGGGTTCATTTCAAGATCCTGGTTCTGGTCTATAGGGCCTTACATGGACAAGCACCATCTTACATTGGTGATCTTCTTAGTCCCTACACCCCCAGCAGGTCCCTGAGGTCCAGTGATCAAAGCCTACTGGTTGTGCAGCTCACCAATCTAAAGACCAGAGGTGACAGATCATTTGCTGCTGTGGACCCCAGACTCTCTCTCTCTCCCCCTGAGCCTGAGATCAGTGGACTCAGTGGTCTCCTTCAAAAAGCAGCTGAAGACTCACTTGTTCAAGCTGGCTTTTCTATGACCTTCTTCACCACTCTCTCTTTATTCTGCTCTCCCCACCTATTCCACCTTCCTCAGGATCCACTGATTTCCCTCTTTCCTATTCACTCTCTCTCTTTCTTAGCATTTTTTCTTTTAAATCCCAATTGCCCATTTTTGCTCATTTTAAATATATTTTTAAACATTTTCTAAATGCTTTTTTATATTTTTACTTTTATTTTTGTTTTTGTGAAGCGCCTCATGATTTTTATCTTGAGAGGCGCTATAGAAATGATATTTTCTTCTTCTTCTTCACTTGGGCCAGCTCCTCCGGGAGAACCCATGATGTTCCCTGGCCAGCCGAGAGACAAAGTCCCTCCAACGTGTCCTGACTCCTGGGTCTTCCTTTAGGTCTCCTCCTGGTCGGACTGAGAAGACGTTCTACCCCTTTTCGACTCAAGACTGTGGTCTTGGATTTAGAGGAGCTAATTCACATTCCAGCTGCTTCACACTGCTGCAAACTGCTCCAGTGAAAGTTGGAGATCACTTTCTGATGAAGCCAACAGGACCACATCATCTGCAAAAAGCAGAGACCTGAATCTGAAGTTCCACAATCTGATGGACCCTCCTCTCTAAAACCCCTGAATAGACCTTACCAGAGAGGCTCAGGAGTGATCCCCCTGAAGTTGGAACACACTGCAGGGACCACCACTCCAGTCTGCTAATCCAGTGGGACTGCCCACGATGTCCACACGATATTGCAAAGCTGCGTCAGCCAACACTAGGGCTGGGGGTAAACGATTATTTTTAAAACGATTATTCTGACGATTATTTTATCGAATAGTTGACTATTCTAATGACTAGACAACTAATCTAATGATTATTTTTCTATTGCACAGTTAATGAAAACCAAAAAATCTCAAATAAATGCCTCAAAAATTGATAATTTGTTACTGTAAGAGAATAAACACTACAGGCCTTCCATTTTGTATAACACTGCTTTTATTGTGTTGCGGTTGGTTATGTTCTGGTGACGTGTAGAACTTGGGAGTGCAGGCTGCTGCCTGAGAGGTGGTTAGAGATGGAGTGACTCCATGCTGCTTTGTTTTGGTCCCATATGTGCGTGAGGCGAGTGGTGTTACGACCCTTCCTGGGGAGTTTGGCTCATGCGCAAAAAGGAAGGGACAATAACACAGGATTTAGAAGTTAAAATGATGATCAGTAGGGCTGTAGCGAAGCCTCAATGACGTTGACGGCTAGATTCTAAAAATTCGTAGACGTCAGAGCTAGTAGTCGACGCACAACGCCCACTTGTTGCATCCCCATGAGTTTGTAAATAGAGGTGGAATATGCCTGTTTTTCCTCCTCTAGTTCGCCCTCTTCTCTGCCTTCACCAACATCTCCGCCAAATACCGGAGACCCGGAACAATGTCCGTCCGCTACTAGATTATTTTCCTGTTTTGCCCGCCTTCATCTCCCGGCAACGGACAACAACTTCCGGGGTCAGATGCGCTGCTTTGTCTCTACCGCAGATGTAGAAAATCACTGGGAGGGTTTCTCCCTTCATAAAGGAGCTTCTTTCAGACATTAGGAGAGCTGTTTTGGTGGTAGCAGTCTCTCCTCCGTGCTGGTCTGTTTGCTGCTGGGTGTTTTTGGTTTATTTAAACTTGGTAACTTGAACTTAACGTTGGTAAAGCTATTGCTAGCATTTTCACCAACAGCTTCTTGCGTTTGGATAAGCTGTTATGTTTTGGTTTAGAGTTCATCTTTTTTGTGGTGTAGATCTCCCTTTTATTACATTTAGAGTGTTGTGGGTTTTCAGTTTAGTTTAAAATATCACCTTGAGTTTGGTTTAACCACCCAGTTTAGAGTTTGGACCTTTGGAGATCCTTATTTTGGTCCAGAACCCAGTAATCTTGGCCCAGTGGGACATCCCTACTTTGTACTTTTGTTTTAATTCCCCCACAGGCAGAATTGGTTTTATTATTCCCAACCTGTGGATAGAAAGATTTGTTTTTTTGTAGTGGGAGCAACTCCAGAGTGGTAGGAAGTCCAACCCATCTCAAGGAAACTGTTTCCAGAGCCATGCGTTGAGGTGAGTCTGACTACATCTAGTCGGAACCTCACACACCAACTCAGGCTCCTTCCCCACCAGAGAGGTGACGTTCCATGTGCCAAGAGCCAGCTTCTGTAGCTGAGGATCAGACCACCAAGGTCCCTGTCGTTGGCTACCACCTGTCACTCCCTGCACCTGACCCCTTTGTCCCTTCCCACAAGCGGTGAGCCCATGGGAAGGGGGATCCATGTTTCCTCTTTGGGCTGTGCCCGGCCGGGCTCCATGGGTGAAAGCCCGGCCACCAGACGCACTCCAATGTGCCCCACCTCCAGGCCTGGCTCCTGAGGGGGGCCCCAGTGACCCGCGTCCAGGTGAGGGGACACTGTTTCCATTTATGTTTTTCTTCATAAGGAGTCTCTGGGCTACTCTTTGTCTGATCCCTCACCTAGGACATGTTTGCCATGAGTGTGACCCCACCAGAGGCAAAAAGCCTCAGACAACTTAGCTCCTAGGATCATTGGGACACTCAAACCCCTCCACAGGGTAAGGTAGCAGCCCATGGAGAGGGGTGTTGGAGAATAAAACACAAGATTTTTGGTCAGCATCACCGATTCAGCTACATCATCTGTTTAAAATCTTTTCGTCCTCTTTTTGCTGCCTTTTGTTCCATCTCACTTGTATTGTTTTTACATGGACGGGCAGCGCAGAGTGAATTTCTAAGGCTGTGGCCTTGGTCACCTCCTCCCATCGCTCATAAATCTTATTGCAAAGTTAGAGTTTTCTCTTGCTCGACACCGATGACACAAGAAGAGAAGGTTAATCCGACCATTCTGAGCTGTGCTGCTTGTCAAACATGAACACTGTGTCAGTTTGCCTTTGTTTGCTCATCTAGATTGGTTTTAGGCATTGTCAAGACTGACATGACAATTTGGTGTTTAGTTCCTAGACTCAGAATTCATAGTGAAGGTGGATATTCCTAACTCTGAAGAATACATTTTCATAAACCTTCTACAACTTCAGACTGTGGTTCAACCATCATCTGTAGAAACACATTTGGTTTTTACTGTTAGAAACTTTTATTAGAGCTTTAATCGGCTCCTGTCCATCATCCAAAGGTTTGGTTGTGTGAGGATTTGTTTTATTAGCCATTAATGCACCCTCTTGTACTCTTAACATGTTGATAGGGTTACCAGGTAACACACAATAATAATTATTGTAATGCTTTCTAATGTATTTAACCCAGTTTTTGAAATCGAAATCTCCTGTGTGTGATTTTCTGTCAGAGAACCAGTATGATCGACAAGCATATCTACATTGTCCAAGGAGAAATAACCACTGTTGTTGGAGCCATAAAGAGGAACTCCAGATGGAATACCCACACCTCCCTGGTACGTTGTGTTTTACTTGGTTACTAGTTACCAGGTTAGATGGATCTAACGTCCAGCTGTGTTGGTGTGTTTTTGTTTCTGCTCTGGACAGGATGAAGAACAAGACCCGTTACTGAAAAGCTTTGGTCATCTCAAAGAGTTACTTAACAACAGAAAAGGTGCCTTTTCCATTTTTGTGTGTTCCTATATCTTAGACCGCAGTAGCATCATTCAGTACAGCTAGTAAGGTAGCTTCATGGTTAGTTTAGCTACCACCACATGTAGAGAAGAGCAGATGGTGATGAAAGGGGTGGAGATTTCTCTTTGTTTTAGAAATGTTCTTTTTCCGTCTCTGCTGACACCGATCAGCTGACGCTGAAGCACAAACATCTGCTGCTTTAGACTTTGGTCACAGACTTCATACAGCAGGTAACAAAGAGGGCTAATTTGCTTCTGGAGAACCTCAGGGATCATTTTTTCCTAAGAAACAATAAGACTGTTTTCTCTATTTGAAAATCTGGGATATTATACTGGACCTTCATGGCATGCGAGGGTCTCCATTTTGCCGGCCCGGCCTGAAAGGACTGATTCTGAACCATTTTGGGAACCATTTGAGTACCTGAACTGGGTGCTTCTTCTGGTCATTGAACGCTGCTTTACATCACACTGCTGCTCTTCTATTGCATCCCCTTGATGGCGTACTCTTACAGAATACAACCTTTTAATAGTTGTTAATGGACTGTCGTGGCCTTTTACGTCCAAACGAAATAACCCAAAAGAAAAAGGCTGTGGGTGGCAACAGGTGGGATTTGGATTTGCACGCACTCCAGACTTTAGTTCTTCAAAAATATATTCCATTGTAACTCAAAATCATCCAGCAATCCACAAAATCCAACCGAAACCAACTAATAAAGGCTCTGTAATAGGGCTGCAACAACGAATCGATAAATTCGATGAAAATCGATTACTAAAAGCGTTGGCAACGAATTGCGTCATCGATTCGTTGTGTTGCGCAACTCTTCCAAAAGCCCCCTCACCTCCCGCCCGCCGTTGCGCGCAGACCGGTGCAGAGCCGGCAGGTGTTTGGAAGAGGAACATGGCAGAAGCAGCGAGACCCCAAAAAAGTAAAAACTTCTAAAGTTTGGGAGCATTTTCAGTTAAATCAGGTGAAGACATGCAACGTTTGTAGGTCAGACTTAGCATGCACGGGGATACTACGGTGATGATGCAGCGTCTTAAACGCAAGCATGTCAGAATCATCAGCGAGGAAGGAGAGAGCTCTGTGTCTGGGTAAGTTAAAAACTTTTCAAAAGTGATTCACCCAAGCCCCGGATTATTACACAGGCTAGACATGCCCTAAGCTCGTTAAAAAAAGTCTGTAAAATTGTAAGCGCGACGCTATTAGATAGGCGGGGGGGACGACTCGCGCCGCTGCGAACCGGTTCCGCCGTCACATTCCCGCAGAAACTGGTTGATCACACCGGGGCCAGACTACTAGCATGTGGTTTTACGACCACAATGTCCTCAGAAGCGAAAACGCTTTTAAAAGGGAGGGAGGAGTCCTAACTGTTGCTGCAGGCGTGTTGTGTGAGAGTGCAGTTATATACTGGTTAATATATTTTTGGGTTCAGTTGCTTTCATGTGGCCTAATGTGAGTCTATTTGGGATCATTGGAATGATCAGCAGCATTTCTTGATGTGACTTTATGGCAGTTGCCCAGGGCATCATCACAAGGAGGGTGGCATTCATTTACTTTAGTTTTATTTGGTATTTTTTCAGTCATTTTTGGAAATAGTGATTAATTTTGATTAATTCACAGCCTATGTTTAATTACATGTAAAAATTTGTTGTTTAACATCCCCAATTATAATAAATGTCTACAGATGAGATCAAACAAAACAGATGAGAATTGCCCTTAAAGAGCAAGTCACCCCCAAATAAACTTTTTTTGCTGATAAACTAAATAAATGAGTGTCTAATCATGCTGCAGACACGTGTCGTCAATAATTTGGCACTTCAGTGCATCTTAGTTAAACTTTAAATATTCTGCCTAAAACTGGCAGTGTTGCGCCGTTGTCAGGTAAAAACTCTGCACTGTATTTTAATTTAAATCTGCCACCGCTATTGGCTAAGAAGTATGCTATGATGTAAACTGGTACATTATGATGTCACAATGCTGTCGTGAGCCTGAGTGTGTGTGTATTTATTAGCAGCTCCGCCCTCTCGGTCTGCCAGGCAACAGCATGTGTTGCATTTTTCAAACATGAAGCGGGAGTGGAGTTAGACTCTGGTAGGGGTTGACTTGCTCTTTAAGCTGTTTAATTTGGACCAAGCATTTTAGGTCACAGATAGGTGTAGCTTAGGGTCTCTGTCTATAGAGCTCCGGACCCCACGTGACTCAGTTAGTGGACGCCATTTTGGCATGCAAAAAAGGTAAACAAACACGGATGTAACCATGAACATGAACGGGATCCGCTTGGATTTTACTTCGTCGGAGTTTACTTCACACTTTAAAACAGAAGAAATCGTTTTATATAGTCAGAAATTAAATAGACTAAACATCTCCGACCCTTACTGTGCCCCTGGGATACTTTTTAAAAACGCCAGAAGCTGTCGGAGCGGACTTCTTACCGGCACAACACCGGACCTGGCCGGGGAAACCCCTTGGGATTCCCCCGGCCGGAGGAGCTGGGGAGAAGGTCTGGGACTCTCGACTCTACTGCCCACTCCGACGCCAGAAGCTGTCGGAGCGGGCTTCTTACCGGCACAACACCGGACCTGACCGGGGAACCCCTTGGGATTTACCTGGAGGAGCTGGCTCCAGTGGCAGGGGAGAGGGAAGTCACGCTACTGCCCCCGCAACCCGACTCCGGATACGCGGATGAAAATGGATGGATGGACGGACAATTAACAGATTTACACGTAAGTAGTCTCGGTGAGACAGATAATAGCAATCCAAAGTGCTTTTTATGTGTGATCTGACAATTGATCAACCATTGCTTAAAAATGAAATACAGCTTAGCCGGTTAATTGCTGTCATCATAAAACACGTAAACGGCAGCACGCAGAAATCACGAGGCAACGTTTTACGTGACGTTTACTTGTTGCTATGAGTAATAAGACAGAAAAAGCCACGCCAAAATAAGTTTAGGAAGCCCACTAAGAATCGTAATAAAAGCATTTAAAATAAATACCATTTACAGTTGAGGAAACGTTGGTTTAAGTACCTGATATGAAGCGGTCGCTGCATAAGTGAAAACCTTTACTCTCGGGATCCCACAGCTTCATTTTCGCCCGGTCACTAGCGCGTTTTATTACAATGATCCAACGTTTGCGGCGCTCCGGATCTTGGGGAATCCTGTAGATGGCTCATTCCTTTTGTCGTCCGCGTCTGTTCTGCATCCTGGGGCACAACAGGAATCTACCATATTTCCCGTTTGATTGAGTTTTCTGACAATAACAAATAGTCCAGCTGCCGGCTTCTGCATGCCAATATGGCGCCGTTTCGATTTGAACTGTTGCATACCGGGAGAAGTGACGTCAACTCCCGGAGCTCTATACACCTTATAAGACAATTTAGGTGATGGCATGTTGTTTTTCTGCTATTGAACTGTTTTCTAATAACGTTGTGTTTAATAAAGTGAAGGAAGGAGAAAAATAACATTTCCCTAGCAGTTTTTAAAAATGTCCCTATGTAATCCGATTAATCGATTAATTGTGTCGAGACCCCATCCGATTAATCGATTATCCAAATAATCGTTTGTTGCAGCCCTACTCTGTAAAGTGGTCAAAAAATCATTAAAAACCCTCCCGTCACTTCCGGCTGACATCTGACAAACAAAAACAAAACCCCTCCTTCCCCCTGGCTTGCTCCTTATATGCCTAATTAATGGGAGGTTCCGAAGTAGGGCTGCAGCTATCGAATGTTTTTGTAATTGAGTACTCTATCAAATTTTTATCGATTAATCAAGTACTCTAATAAATTACCCTTTTTTGTTTGTAAACCATTATATCACATAGCATGTTATAAAATATGAAAGACCTCTTAAAATCAGCGAGCAATTGCCAGTTATTCTTCAAGTTTTATTCAAAATTAGTTTTCAAAACTTCAGCACTTCAACTTTACTTCACAGTAAACAAACACCTGTGCAAAAAGTAAGCATACAACCTGAGCCCATTTTCCCCTCGTGAGAATCTACTAGCCTGGCAAGCCAGACAAAAACTAGGAGGATAACTGTTGAAGTAGCGCTGCGAGCGGCTGCGGCCCAAACAGTACCAGAACCACTCACGGTGCATGCGCAAACATGGCTTGCTAGCTGTTTCCCTATTATGTTTATGTTTACGTATTTAGCAGACGCTTTTGTCCAAAGCGACTTAAAAGTGATAATCGGCATGTTGCCCTTGAGGCTAACAACAACAATAACAACAACAACTTGACATCAATCATGGAGAGTAGGGAACAAGGAGTGGACAGTAGAGAGGGGGGGTGGGTGCAGGGAGGTTGCTAGTTAAGAAGATGCTCTCTGAAGAGCAGGGTCTTCAGGAGTTTCTTGAAAGTCGAAAAGGAAGCCCCTGTTCTGGTAGTGCTTGGTAGGTCATTCCACATTTGTGGAACGATGCATGAGAAGAGTCTGGATTGTCCTGAGCGTGGTGTAGGCACTGCTAGCCGACGATCCTGTGGTGACTGGAGCGGCCAGGCCGAGACGTAAGCCTTTGCAAGAGGATTCAGGTAGATGGGAGCCGCACCATGTCGGACTTTGTATGCTAGTGTTAGCAATTTGAATTTGATGCGTGCTGCTAGCGGTAGCCAGTGGAGCTCAATGAACAGAGGGGTGGTGTGTGCTCTTTTTGGCTGATTGAAGACAAGACGCGTCGCTGCGTTCTGGACCATTTGAAGAGGTCTCACACAGTATAGCCTTGTAGACCAGTTAGAAGGGCATTGCAGTAATCGAGGTGGGAGATGACAGTAGATTGCACCAGGAGCTGGGTGGCATGTTGTGTTAGGTATGGTGTGATCTTTTGTATGTTATACAGCACAAAGCGGCATGAAGAGCAACAGAGGAAACATGATCTTTAAAGGTCAGGTGTTCATCAATCACAACACCCAGATTTCGAACTGCCTTTGAAGGAGCCAGAGGTAGGAAGTCATTTTGGATTGAGATATTGTGCTGTATGGATG